GGCTAAAATTTTCAGGATCCTTTAAATACTCATAAATGTTTCCTAAAACTCAGGATCCTTACCCAGTTCGGTTATTACAGTTTCTCGGGAATTTATTGTACATGCTGTGAGCATTGCCACCTTTACAGTATTACCTTCTTCATCTATTTTTATTCTGGATAGGGCATCTGCTACGATATTTTCCTTTCCGGGGGTATGCTTGATTACCAGATTATATTCTTGTAGCTTGAGTGCCCATCTTATTAACCTTGGGGATAAGTTTTTCCCTGAGTACAATCTAGTTACCGCCGCATGATCAGAATACACTGTTATTGGCGCCCTTCCAAAATAGACTCGGAACTTTTGCACTGCTAACAGAACTGCAAGTGCCTCTCTCTCGGTCGCGGAATAATTTCTTTGTGTTTGATTTAAAGTTCGACTAAAAAATGCCACGGGCTGCTGATTTTGCGAAAGTACCGCTCCTACCGCATAATCCGAAGCATCCGCTGAAATTTCTAAATTCTCATCCTTTTCAGGAAATTTCAACACAGGGGCTTGCGTTAATGCTTGCTTTAATTTTTCGAAAGCACTATTGGCTTCGGCCGTCCACGAGAATCTTGCCTTTTTCCTTTTTAATTTTAACAATGGTTCAGCAATAGCTGCAAAATCTTTTATAAAGGACCTATAATATGAACAAAGTCCTAGAAAAGAAGAGAGCTTCTTCGCCGTATTTGGCGGCGGATACTTTTGCACAGCGATTATTTTTGATTCGTCTGTCTCGATTCCTTTCTGAGATATTTTGTAACCTAAATATTTTAATTCAGGGGCTGCAAATTTGCACTTTTCGACATTAACTTTTAGACCGGCCTCATTTAATAATGAAAACACCTGTCTTAAATCCTGTACATGTTGGTCCAGATTATCACTAGTAATAATGATATCGTCTAAATAGATAAATGTGGACTTTCCAAGAAAGAACAGGCCTTAGCACAATGTCCATACATCGCTGAAATGTTGCCGGTGCCCCTGAAAGGCCAAACGGCATACGCAGGAATGCATAAGTGCCAGACATGGTTATAAAAGCAGTCTTAGGCACGTCCTCCCGTCTAACCCTATTTGAAAATAACCAGTCGTTAAGTCTAAAGTCGTCATGTATTTGGTAGACGTTATGTTCCTTAGAATTTCTTCAATAATACCGGATATTTAGTTATGGAGTTTAATTTACGATAGTCAATCGCGAAACGCCACCTTTTTGGATGTGTTAATGGATAGTCATTTATTTTCTTACATAAAACCACCGGGCTAGCATAACTACTTGAGATGGGCGTTATGATCTTTTTACGTAACATATCTCTAATGTGCCATTCTATAATTTTTTCTTTATTCTTATCATACCGGTATGCTTTGTGGCGAACTGGCATTGTATCTCCGGTGTCGATACTATGGTTAGTAACTTGAGTAAATCCTGGAATATCACTAAATAACGAAGCAAATTCACTTACCACTTGTCGGATTCTTTTGTTGCTCTTCCTTAGGCAGGTGGTCAAGGTTTAACATTAACATTGGCGGTTCTTCCGTTTTTTCTTCTCGAACTGGTTTCATCGTCAGCTTAAGGGACGCTTCATTAAAATCCAGCGTTGCTTCTGCCTCTGAAAGAAAATCTATTCCCTAAGATAATATGTGCTTGCAGATTCTTTACTATAAAAAACATAACCTTTACTTGTTCGTCCTTGATACGGAACGTATAGCGGTAATTTACCTATGCACTTACATCTTTCTCCTTGCGCAGCTAACACTGTCGTATTATCCGAATTATATATGCGGTATTTTACGAAAATACTTCCTAAAAAAATCTTCTGCCACACAGGAACACTGCGCGCCTGTATCCAGGAGTGCGGTGGCTGGGATGTTATTCACCAACACTTCAATCTTCGGAAGAGTCAAATTTTTCACCATTACTGTATTTAACTTGAAGGAAGAGGGGTTTTCTTTTCTTGGCCTTCGGATTTCCGCACCCTCCCGTCAGCAGAAATCCGTTTTAGTTTAAATCTTTTTTTTTTTTTCTTTCCATGCTTTCCTTCCTTCTTTTTCCACTGGCCTTGAGACTTTTTTCCTGGATTGCTATTGAACTGTCGACGTTCGCCGGCTGTTTTTGGATGCTCGGGTTTCCTTGCCCACTGATTCGCTTTGCTTCCGTAGCCGTGTGCTTGACTTTGCTGTGGTCTTGGCGCACCAAATTGGTTTCGTTGTTGATATTGGCGTCTTCTTTCAATGTCCGCCGTTCTTCTACTTTCAAACTGGATTGCTAGCTCAAATAACTTTTCCAGTGTAGTCGGATTCCTTAATTCAATAAAGTCTTGTACTTGGGGAAGTAACCTCGGCAAAATCACTTGAATTATCTCAGGATCCGGACGGTTTCCATACAAGAGTTTGAAGACGTGAATTTTTCTTAAAATAAAGCTTGAGAGATTTTCGATTCGTTTGCTGGTATATGCTGAAAAGTTCCGCTTCTAATTTCGCACGATCCCTTACGACAGGGAAGGCTTTTACTAAGGCAGTCTTGAAATTTTCGTAAGTATAGGTGGGACTTCCCCTGCTTGACCCAAGAGACTTCTGCCTATACATTTGAACCAATTAAGCGCTTGGCCCCTCAAAGCGCTGGTAGCTAAGGTGACTTTCTGGAACTCATGCACGGGATACAGCATGAAGTGGTCATCCAATTTTTCCAAAAAACTGGTTACCGGTGAGTTTCCATTAAATGTTGCTTCTGGTTTCATCGAATGCGCGCATGGTCTGGACGATGTAACCAAATCCTTCCAGGGCGGCAGCTGGCATTTCTGGATTCTGAGCCGCTTCTGCAGGCAGCACAGGTTCTTCTTGAAACTCGGCCATGGTTATTCTTCTTCGTCGGGCGCCACTATCAGGTTCAATGTTCCTCCTTACTTGCTTTGGGAACATTCAAGAACCTGACTCGGAACAGGGAGCTTACTAAAGCTATGTTCAATAAATGTGGGAAGTAGACAAGATACACAGGAAGGGTATACGAAACCCTTTATTTTTCACTCTTTACAATAATTTCCGGACTTCGGAATACAGAGACCAACCACTTGTGGTCTGAACGTAAGAATATAAAAATATTAACTAAACTCTAACTTAACTTTGGAATAATAAACAAGGGCCTACGGAAGATTGGCCGTATATTAACAGGAAGCCGTATGTAGTACAGAGAACTGTTAACACTACAATACGTTTAAAATTATCAAGAGGATTAAACCTCTGGCCTGGAAGGCAACCAGCAACCGAGTAAAACTGCTAAGGCAAGCGGCCTGCTTCTACTAACTCCTTCCTCTCTCTTGCTTGGCAAAAAGCCACAACTTAAGTACTTGGCGTTCGCCAGACAAATTTGCATAAATAAGTTAAAGCTTTTAATTCTGGCCGGAAGTAGAAAATAAGAAGTGATAGTAAAGATTTAAAATAAAATAAACGTTAGTAAAACTTAAGATCCTTACAATTTCTTTGATTTGCTTGTTCGTACTCATTAGTAAAAATAAAGAAGGAATTTATCAAATTTAAATTATATTAAATTTATCTATGGGCAAAAACCATAACTGTACAATTACATGAACATATTTTATTGTTATTTTAAAAATTAAATTAATTTGTTATAAAGTAACTATATTTTTTAAATTATTTTAACTTTAATCCTATATCTCTTTCTAAATAATAACAATACTAACATATATTATTTTTCCTCTGAATTTGCCGTAATGTAAGTCGTAACCTTCACTTTCAAGGCCGACGTTAGACCTTTTGCCGCCACTATAAAATATAAATAATAAGAGTACCGTCTGTTAAATTCAAACGTACCTAAACTATATGAATAACTGATTTGTTGACATCACTTGTTTAACTAGCACTAGCACGTAGTACGATGTGTATCGTCTGAGAGACAGTTACAAAATGATTTCGTCGTTGCCAATGCCAAAAAATGCCAATAATCCCAAACAATGGTGGTCAAATTCTAATAACTGATCAACAATGCGAACTTAAACAGTTCTTGATAATAAGTTGTCAACAATTATTTGTTATTATTAAAATTTAACATTATAAAATTTAACAAAAATAATATAAGACACATATCCTGGCGAAGTTAACCACATGGCCGCGGAAAACCGTATTCTCCCGCCGTTCCCTAGCTTTGTCGAGCATTCTTTACAAAAATTGGGACTTTTTTAAAACGTCGCGGGACAAATTTTTAAAAAGCGGAACGGCTGGTCACCTTACAGTAAGTGCACTGAGGCATTGTGATTTGAAATGCTTGCTTTTGTAATTAAGAACAGATGAAAATACTGTGGATAAGTTTAATGTTATTAGATTTCTGTTATCTCGGGTATTTCAGAACAAATGCTTTTTATATTAACACTGAAATGTGTAGTACAAAAATATTACTTTTTTGCTAAGATGAGCAGGAATAATTTATCTTAGCAAAAAAAAGAGAAATGAAAAAGCTAAAAAAATTATCTGAAACATAATTATTACACAGTGAAGAAATATTGACAACTTGAGAGGAATATTTCATGTGGAAACACTTTTCATGAGGATGGCTTCTCCACTTGAGCCAATTCAAAAAAACGAATAGCTTCGTTTTGAACCAGAAGATAAAAGAGAGAAAAATAAACTACTGGCTCTTAACGTAGGGTAACATAACATGAAAGAGTTAATCTGATCAATTCGAAATCTGAAAAAAACTGAAAACATAACAATTTCAGCTGAGATATTCATTTAGTTTCAATCTTCTATCACAAATAATTCTAGCGATTGTGGTTTGCTAAATTATTTTTCTTTGTAATATGCAATAAAGGAATTTTTCGCTTATTTTTTCTTAATAATTAATAAAAGGAACTTAATTGTTGCACCATTATCTGCTGCTTGCTAAAGAATGCCAAACGCCATTAACTTTTTGATACTTTGTTTTAAAATGTGTAATTCTATTATTGTTCAATTTATCTTCTTATTTGCAGGAAAATAGCCCACTCAGGTCTGGAAGCTATACCAAATATGAATCAACTGCGGACAAATTCAACCATCATAGCGATGCTGTAAGTTATGAAACTCAGATTTTAAAACAACTTCTCCATGGTATTATTCTTCATTGTATTATGATGATGTAACCTTAAGCGGTACGTACTGATTACACGTATCTCCGCAAAATAATTTACAGTTGAAAGGCAACTTTGGGAAGATGAGAAAAAACTTTTAATTCGTTCTTTTTACGTTTCATGGATTCGCTTCTGCTCATAAGTACTAATAATAAGCAACATTTTATAAGAAAAACGAAATTTCGTGAGAAAAAAATCTATATGGCCGTTACTTATATTTTAACGGCCGGTGTATACGCTTCATCTATAGCCTAAAAAAATAATAATTCAAAAAGAATGGGAACACTGATTCGGTAAATAAAGCTACACATAAAACGTGTGAATCCACATGTACTCAAACATGTGTGTAGTACGTGCAGGTGTAGATTAACCTACTCGCATACTCGAATATATGCCAAAAACAAAGCAATTCCACCATAAATCTGTAAACCGGAGATTGGGTTTTAAGAACGTAAGAATGTATGAGTAATATATGGAATACATTCTATCATTAAAATTCAATGAATGTCACCTGTATAGTATAAAAAATCATATTTAAATTTCCATTAAAATGTAATATTCATGCTTTATTCTCTGTTTGTCTAGACAAAAAGAAAAGGAAGTGCAGCATTATAAAATAAAGACACTTCGATGAAAAAAAAGAAGGATACTAAATCAGTGTAAGATGAAATGCAACCGAATCGACATAAAATTGTTGAGAAATGCAGTCAGTCTACATAGTCAAGAGTAATGCACATTGATAGAATAAAATGCTTTTCAACATAGAACACAAACTACGTCTAAAATTAATACGAAACGTTTGCTCATGCTATAAATTTCTTCACACTACTCCGCTTTTGCAATCGCAAAGCGCTGAGCGTTTCTTTGTCCAATGATCGTAGATAAATGTGATTCCATTGTAAAAGAACAAGAACATGAAATCCCCTTTGAACATAAAGGTTTATGGTAGTTTTACAAAATATTTTCACACCCCAAGAACTATTCGAGACAATTGTGTGTTCTATTCTACTCGTTGAGGCATATTGCTGCTTCGCAAATATTTCAGGTTGGCATAGCAAAGGCTGAATACTGACACACTTCCATCACTCAGGCAGATAGACACGGAAAATGAAGGTGTAGTGAACTAATATACAGAAATGGCAATGAGATGTGTTGGCTGTCTTATCAGTTTTTAAAAATAAAATCAGTGTCAGCATTTCATTATTTCTAGTATTGTAATGTAAGCTGTTCATTAATCATATAATTCTTACTTTTATAGTTATTTAAGGTTCCCTGTGCTATTCGGCAGGAATTGATAATATTTTAGATACCTGGACGAAGTTAAAACATTTTCCCTACCAAATTAATATTAAATTCTTTTTTTTTGCTTACAAAATATTTTATAGGAATGCTTTGCGTTGGTGGAGTTCAAGATTTTATTTAGTACTTTTATTCTTGATGAAGTTAAAAACCAATGGATTACAGACCCATGAAAAATTATCATTATTATCATTAAAAGATTATTAAACCTCAAGTAAGTCCAAATTCCATGAAAATAGTTTTATAAATTAACCCATTTTTCTACTTCGGATTTCTTATATATTGAGCTATAATGAACTTCTTACTTAATTAATTATGTATCATTAATAAAGGCTTCATTTTATCCTCCATTATTCCTCTGCCATTTTCCCTTATTTTCTTATCTATAAAGGTCACCTTACACAACTTATCAATCCTCATTAATGTAATGCGTTTTCATATTATTCTTACCAGTTTTTTTCGTTTTAGTTCGAACTATGAAAAATGAGTAGCTAGACTGATAAAGGCTCATTAGCAAGCTCCATTTACCTTGCCTAATTTTTACCTTTAAATAATTTTAATTAACTTCTAACCAGTCTTCAGATGCAGGCAAAATTCTGCCTTCTGCTAGGTTTGCTCTCCATGAAAAATGCTTGAAATTTCTATTATTACTAAATCCGCAATAAACTTATCCAATTGTTGTAATAGTATTTGATAGTTTTTGTTTAGCTGGAAGAATTCTTAAGGTGGTCAGTGAATGTCCCATGATCATACACCACTTTTCTGCCAGATATTTTTAATTAATGACACTTTAATGAGCAGCAGTTCAGCTAATGAGTCTTAAAAGGACGTTTATTAATTAGCAATGTCATATTTTTCTCCCATACCATGCATTCTCAAAGACTGCAATTGTTCGATATATTTCAAATAATTCCAAGACAGCACGATAGGTAATTTTCTAAACAAATGCTGTTTTATGTCGATTCATGTTATACGAATCAAAAAGCTGACACGAAAAAAAGAATAGATAAGACGCCTGAACAAAGCTAGTTCGACCCGAGTTCAATTATTGGTGAAATGGTTGGTTAAATGAGCATTTTCGTTTTCCCCCCATATGCAATGTGAATAAGAGCCGTTTTGCGCAGTGTGCTGGATATATTCAATAACCTATTCCAATCTGAAAGAATAACTGATTAAAAACGTTAGCTGTGTTTCTTCATCATCAATATTAACCGTCTTTAAATAAAGGCGTTTTTAGTTTTAACGAAATAATATCAGCTGGGAAGTTTTTTTAACTAAATATCCTAATCTTTTTGCGTAATATCTTCAGCAGAATTTTGACTTCTGTGCTATAACTTTAGCAAAAAATTTGTTATTTTCCGTCGTTAACTTTCAGCTGTAGGATATGAGATTTTTATTAATCTCGGTGTAGGGAACTAAGTACTCTTGAGATTTCTCCAGCTTTCAGAGTAAAGATCTTCATTTAGAAAGCATAACTCCAACTGACGTGCAACATTTAGTTTTTTTCCAATTGTCTTTTTTCCAAATCCCCAAGTAGGGCACATAAACTAGCATGCACTTGCAATATTTACAGCCATAGGCTGGCGTAGTCATGTATCTCTACAGCTTTAGAATAGTTTTTAAGCAAATCTTCAACAATTTCCTTGGTACCCTTCTTCTAAAATTTGATTCAAGTAGCTGGAAAAGTTTTGCCAATTTTTGTTTCATTTTATCACCTTTCGCAAAAGCTGTGACAATTTATCATTCTTCTTTCGGAATTTTTTTTCGTATTTTCAGGCGATTGTTACGAAGGATTTTTGTTGCTCCAGCAGGATAAGTAATTGTCGTACAAAGCTCTCATTATATACCCAGCAGCAGTGTCTCCAAATGGATACGTCTGTGTTACTAACATTTGTGCAACAGGAGAAATCTAAACTAGTTGACTAAACAACACAGCATTCTAATTATTCAAAAATTTAGTTGTTAGTATTCGAACATGCCTTTGCTCTGTACCACATAACTCAAGCAATGTCTTCTGACGTACATCAACTTTCCAGGAGTACGCCTTATTGTATGGCAATGGTACGCTGCATTTGCCAATCTATGGCTCAGTTCGCCATGTTACAAGCCCAATTCTAGGGACTACTGCCGCCCTTTTCACTCACAACTTCGTTCGCATGCTTGATCAACTCCGAAAACTTTCGTGGTGATTGTTGTCGAAAAGTCCGATAGCTTCCGTTGCAAATGGAGAGCAATTAACTGTTTCTTTTCTCATGTTCTGGTCTTTTTAATTTTGTCCTGATGATAATTTTTCTTAGATATGTTGATGTTAATATATTACTAGCGTGCTAAGGCCAAAGCAATGTTTATAAGTTCTACGTACTGATAAACTGAAAATAAAATTAAATACTAATTTAATGTACTGTATACAAAGTTCCTAGCTTCGACTGAAGCACAGTTTATGAGTTCTATGTAGACCTGAAAAGAAAGTGCATAAAAACATTTCAGCATAAATAAAGTCAGTTCATTCTTTCCAAGCAACAACCAATTTGTAAATAATTTGTTTATAGTCAAACCAGCAAACGAAACCTTCGGACACTTCAAGTTAATACCTAAACGAATGACGTCATGATTTAAGATTAATGTAATATAAAAACTTTTTCTCGATATCAATAAAACAATTAACGCGGCAGTAACATACCGTGCCTAGATATCTTAATCTAAAACAAAAAAGTTGCCAACAGTAGCTATTTATTTAAAATTCTGACATTAACAACAAATTTTCGACATACAATGACGTCACATGAAATCGCGTGCTTTCTTCAACGTCGAAACATCAGCTCATATAATAATAATACATTTAATGTTTAGAATGTTATTTTTATCTCATATTTTGTAAAACTTACAAATTTATGTTAGCAAACTCTACGATCTGAAAGCAAGCAGTGGCACTTTTCAAAATAGAGCAGGTGTTTTTTTTATCTCCAGCGAGCCAGACTGTTGCCACTAGGAAGAATAAGGGCGAAAACTGTCGTTTGCAGAGTTTTTAATTAATATCTCGGCTGATTATATTAGTACGAAGATGAGAATTGTCGACATGGCTTCCCACAAATTTTTGGAATCCGGGGATGCCTCTTTTGAAACTCAACTCTCCGCGGTTCCGGTGGAGACAATGCCACAAATAAACAGACACGCGTAGATTTTTAATAGTATAGATAATAACAAAGTAAATTTGCCGCAGGTACTCAGTAATGGCAATTGTTTTAGTGCTCAAACTACAGAGAAAAAGTAGGAATGCCATGTTCACATTGCATGCCGGTATATTTCGCGGCGGACTTCAGGCGAGATTTCTTCACCTAAATTTCGCATGAGTTTGATCATTCACATTTACTCACATTCAGTAAAATCGCAATAAATACATACACACAAACACTATGCAGACATACAGGGCCCTTCGTATTTATTCGATATCCGCTATCCAGGATAACTATACTAAATACGTGCTTTTACGCGACATGCACTCTACTGACAGACTGCAAAAAAACGTAAAAGTACGTTTCCTGCCTGCACGCCTCAATCGTGTCATAAAAGTGCTGCGTTGTACGATTTGTTATAGTGAGAACTGAAAAATAACTAATTGAAAAATAATATAATAGGTATTTTGAAGTTATTTTGTGAAATTAATTTATTCTAGTTGCAAATAGTACTTCTCATTGGTAAAATAAAAGCATTATTATTTTATTAATACTTTAAGTGCGCACAGACAGGACAGAAAAAATTCAGTTAAAAGCATTTTTCCTAACAATCGTTTTTCGAATATCTTAACCTTAATTTGATATTCAAGAACATCACTTTTTCATTTTATTACTTAAAATCCACCCAAGAGACGAGACTTACAACTCTCCGTTTTTTTTCAACTAAAAATTACTTAAAAAAATGCTTCATCTAATAAGCAAATTCTTATCTATGGTAATTTCAGTAAAAACTTTCGCCTTCGTCTTATCTATTCCCCCTTCTTACCAATTTATTAAGAGAATAATTAAGAATCAATGCTAACCGTGATTCCTGAAGTCAGGAAAGACGCTGATTTTCGAAGTTTTTTATAACAGTTTGCAAAGAAAAGTCTTCTGCGCCCTTACAGAAAGATTAAAGAGAAATTTTAACTAGCTCTCGAGTTCTTTATTAATTTTACGTCTTGAGATTTCTCGGCTTTATTTATACTAGACATTGCTGATCAAAAGTTATGCTATTTTAAGTAACAATTCTAACCCTTTGAAATTACTTTCATTCATATCATTTATATATTATTTCATTTTACGCTAGAAATGCAGAAATTTACATATTTATTATATTTCTGTTTTTTCCAAGCAAAAACGTTTGCCTTATTCATTTGTAAATTCTTTTTCAGAGATTTTGACAGCAACAAGATTAAGAATATTACGTCAAGCTCCATAAATGTCAAAGCCGAAAATCTGTAAGTAATGTGCACCATTATATTTAAATTTTAGAAAGCTTATTAGCTTTTCCTATTCCAATTATACATAAGCACACAGATATACACATATGGAAATATAAATCGACGTATACATATATATGTGTGTATATATATTTACACACGTATAAAAAATATAAAAATTCATGCTGAACGTTTTATAGTGAGAAATATATATTTGAACAAACTTAACTGCATAGGCTCATAAAAAAATTAATTTTCCACCTCTGTATTTAGAAATATGATCTCTACATGGTTTTTTCAGTTTGTGCACTAATGTAGGTACTCTATCCCCTACTTCGTCAATAGTATGAAAATTCACCCCGAGAACAAATGATCTCGATATATGCCTTATATCACTATATAGGAATCTAAAAGGTTTGCGGAGTTAAATATCTTTTACCTTAATTGTACAGTAATGGTTTAAGAGATTAATCTATGATAACAAATTTAGATGTGGGTTCTCTCAGTAAAAACAAGAAACTTAAATTTTTAAATAAATATCTAAATTTTATAAAAAAGCTAATGGGCAGCAAGAACCTGAAATTTGTGGTTATTAACCATTTCTTGTATTGCTTTTGCATTTACCTCCGCTTCTATTGTTGCTGGCTCTAGCCAGAATACAAATCAATTGATGTTCAGGATGTTTATTTTTAAAATGACACTACTCAGAGCCAGCCACCTAGACAGTATAGTGGTTAGGAGAGTCTATTACGGTACCGAAAGGCCTGGGTTTCAAACCCGGAGAAGGCATGGATATTTGTAAATGTGTAGTATCTTTTCGGCATGGGGCCACTCTAAATGTATGGCGAGCCGAAAGTCCTCTCGTGTGAATTATGGTAGAGGACTCTGGAAGTAAGACTCTTTAACTCTGGTAGGAGACTCTGGAATCACCCCAAGGTGTTCTCCCTCAAAACTAGTGTGGACATAGAAGTCCAACATCCATCAACATACGAATACAAGTACAACATGTGGGAAATAGAAGTCCAACAAGTCCATCATCCTGCCAACCATTCTTCCATGAAATTCATGGAGAAAACAATAACAACTACTCAGAGCCATCTGTAACCCTACCTATCAGTTGGAATTTGGTAGGGGGACTAATGATGACGTGAGAGGGAAGGTTCTGTGAAAGCGAAAAAAATAATTCCGAAAGTTGCCGATAAAGGAAAATATTCCGCTGTTCTACACTACATAGCTGAGAACAACAAATTAATAACAAAGAAGAAATTTCAGGGCAGCTCTACTTTAGTGCAACAAATGAATAAATGAAATCGCTTCGTCGGCCAGAGCATAGACCTCTTACAATGTGACCACCCTCTAATGGATCACACAATGCATCCTGTACACAACATTCTCAATGGCCGAACGTAACATGTCACCGAAATTGCTTAGCATACTCCATGATATGTTGTTCTTTAAGGTATTGAGGTCGCGATCACTTTGAATAACCTCGCAATAAAAATTCACATGGAGTCACCTCTCAAGAATTAAGCGGCCGTGCAAATAAAATAAAAAAACCCCTTACATCCTTTTTTCTGTAAAGGGATGGCTCAAAACCTATGTACCGATGAACCAATGTGCGTTGATGCTCCATCCTACATAATACTAATTACCGGATCCAGCAACTGTCTCTGCTTAAGCTGTGAAATGGTAAAACTAGTTAGCATATCATGATACATTTACGTGATGATGTTATGGAAGTGCGGTCTTTGTTAGAATAATGTTCTCAAAAATGGTCCGCTGATGAAATCTGCTATGAAGCCCCGCCTAACAGTTACTTTTGGTAAATGCAATGGAATTTTCTGAACTGTGTGGAGGTGTTCGGATGCCCAAATTCGAGATTTGTGAGAGTTAAGTGTTCAATTTGCGTTAACAATTCTATTCTGTGAGGTGAAAATGAACCTCATCTTCCCACAGAATGATTCATAGCCAAACATTGCCGACCGCCATCATGGCAAGAAATATCAGAGCAAATGCCATCCGTTTATCATAATCCTTTTGTTTTATTTTCCTGCAGAAGACTTAACTTGTATGGAAAGAAGTGAAAAACTTTCAGAAATATTTCCATACCGGTTGAAAAACTCAAATCTTATTCTCGTGCTATTCTGTCACCGGTTTTCTCCCTCTGCCAAGCTATTACCCCGTTTTTCTTTTTTTTTTCAAACATTTTAAATCATGCCTTCAAATGTATTAATTAATAGATAGCCTTCCATGCAGGTTGTGACGACTGTTTAACCTACGAAGAGCAGCAGTTGCGTTCTATTAATGAACATAAAACAACTTGATAAGTAACGTGAGAGACTGAATTATTGATGCAGTTGCCGTTTGCTTAACCGAGCATTTGCATTTTCAAATTTTACTGGCCTTTCAATCAAATTTTCAGTTGCGTAGACTATAACATCGCCTCAATTTTGCCATCGGCAACTTTCATAAATATTTTCATTCATTGAATCTTTTTTCCCAAGTCGTCATTAGTCACCCCACCACATTCGGTAACATTTCAGCAGATAGATCGAGCTATTTCGGAAGACAACACTGACCTTCTTAATAGTACGAGTATTTTCTACCAGCTTCTAAATTACTTGAATCGGCTTAGCTGTTCTACTCGTAATTCCTGTTTAAGTTGAGGGCTTGAACTAAATCTTTTAAAATCTTTACTTTAACGTTGTTTCTATTACTCTCGTAAGCCGCGAAGACTATTTTGGTTGTCATACAAGTTCCGTTCTGCTAAGCTGACGAAATAAGAAAGGGTTTATATTTAAACTTTCTTCGCGTTGAGGTTATTTTACTAAGATATTAGGATAGGTCGATAAGTAGCTCGACTGTTTCCACGGAGCCAAAGTGTGTCCAAAAAAGTAAATGCCGCTAGAATGAAAACTGAAGTACAAACGGCAGATGTCGGCAACCCTGTCGGGATGCCGTCAGATGTTGACATTCCCGTCAGCCATCAGTTGGATCAGAGTTGTCAGGCGAAAGCAGATCTGTCGGAACTACGCTCATGATGTGGATATGTCACTGTCAAAAGATGTTTTACCGAGTTCAAAAAAGGGCAGTGCTGCAGAAGTTTCTCGAAAAATGTGCTTGTCTTTGGAGCGGCATCAGTGAATCAGCGCAAGTGTTTTAGTCAGTTTGCATTGAGAAGCGAGGTTGGAGATGAGAGCCTACAGCAATGGGTTTCAGGTGTACTGCGTCCGAAACAGCCAGCACTAGTCAATAGGAAAGGACTGCTCATTCTTCAAGAAAATGCCAGAACTCGTACTGCAAAAGTGCTAAGAAGGTGGTTAGCGCGTTTGGTTTGAAAGTTTTACTTCATTATCCTTACACCCCGGGCATTTTTCCATCCGACTGTCACCTATTTTTAGCCACTGATAAGCATTTGCATGAGCAACAGTTTCTGAAACCGAGATGATGTCACACAGACTATAAGAAAATTATTTCACTGATGTAATCAAAGAAACAAATCTATCCTCCTACAGCCAAAATTGTCCGATATAACTTTAATTAATAAATAAGGAACCACATACAAATGTTGCTAAAGACAACTATACGTCCAAATTTTTCAATGCAAATTTCTAAACAAATACATTTTCTGTCCAACAAACTTGCCCATAAAATCATTTACTTCAAACGTCAATACGAAGAGTCATAATGGTACCATTGGTAATGACTTAGCAGATAGATTGGCGAAGGTTACCACTAAAAATCAAATTATTGATTGAAGTAAAGACTTCCTTTGACAGTTTAAAATCCTTGCTGAAATGAAAAGGTTTGACTCAAAGCAAAGTGGAACGACCCAGATTCTAAAGGAAGATTCATATATAATTTAATCTCAACTATAAGTGAGAAAAGATCCCTAAGTGGCAAATATCTAAACCAAGCTTTAACTAATCATGGACACTTTCCCTTTTATTACAATATGTTTTCGATTAAAAATTGTGCCTGTCCATGTGGCATGAGTAATGTCGTTATTGAGCACCTGTTGTTTAGATGCTCTTCGATGAAAAAATATTGTTCTAAGATTTATTCCAGATACTGCTAAATTTATTACTCTAAAGGATCTAAGTAAAAATACAGTGACTAAATTGAAATTGTCGAATTTTATAAAATATGTATCTGTAAATGAAACGAATGTATATATTGATTGTGTTTAAAATTTGCCTATCTGTTTTAAGAAAAACTAGGATGTTTATGATATTCTGTTATTTTATTTCTTTGTATATGTAATTAATATATTTTTATGCATGTAAGTAACATGTATTATATTTTACAAAGTATGTAACAATGTGCTTTTGTTGGTGTAGCTGGTAAATCTTACCAGCTCCAAGACTTTAAGTTCCTATTTTAGTTGTTTATTCTATTCAAAGTTATTTCAGGTAGTATAATGGTAGTTCTACTGCTTGATGGACGTGATTTAGGCCTTGTTTTAGATCTCAATGTTTCTTTAATTAAATTTAGTCCTGTTAAGCCTCTAATGGCGGTACAGGAAGTTCGACCAGACATACTTCAAATGCCTATTTATGAAACTTAATTTATCTATCAAAATTCATTTTTTATATAATACCTAAAGTTATTTTTTAATCATTGTTAAAGCAACTTAATTTGTATTTTGATAATTCTTTTCAACAAGATATTTATTTTTTCCATTGTATTTTTTTTAGAATAGATTACAACTTGTAGTAACGTGTGGCCCCCAACTTGTCAGCAACTGTGGTAGTGACTGCTACGAAATGTAAATTTACACAAACACGTAAGAAGGGTTTAAAGCCCTTTTTATTCCATTTTAAAAATAACAGCTGCGTCCACTTGACGCTCACAAACTACGCCGACCCGGCGGTATAACAGAAACAGAAATGTAAAACTGAAAAATAATGACTGGATGAATAAATAGCAACTAGATCACTACCCACGAGGTCTCTGAAATCTTAACTAACCTAACCGCGTTTTCTAAAATACAGCTGAGATTCAGCGAGCTTACTAAT